GCTCTTAAGCATCGTTCACAATCATTGCGTTCACAATTTTCGCTCATAACAAAGTGAAGACATTCTTCTTATTGAGTTGTGGTCAGCCCGCTCCTTTTTCAGAAATAGAAATAACACAAGAAACATTTAAGTTAAATATTTATTCGTTTAAATTACAATAAAAATGACATTAATAATAATAATAATTCAAGCAATTCATTTAATAGTTTGGTGTGTATGTACATTCAAAATTCCAGTCATATCTCATCATTTTGAACGTATTAATTTTATAAAACCATATGTAACTATTGACACAGACCATCCATCGATCAAAAGTGGAACCAACTCATTCTGTTGAACCAATCCCTTGTAACGAAAAGAAATTTCTTTGAGCTTTTGAAATTTGGTCCAGTGAGGAATAAGACTTTCAATTTTAATAAAATGTCCGATTGTAAGTCTCTCAATTGATGGCAATGCATTGGCGATTTTTGAAATATTCACATCCGTTCCTTGATTTACATTTATAAATGATAATTGTGTTATTGTTGGATGTTTTGCAATGAATTCATATTCAAATTCGCTTAATGGTTTTCTGTTTACAAGATGTAATGTGTCAAGTTTATCACTAACGAATGGAATTGGAAATGATAGTGCTACCTTCACATAACAAGTAAGGCTTTTTAGATTCTTAAAGTGGATAAAATCACCATTAAATCCAGAATTGAATTGGTAATGTATATTGAGTTTTAAACTCTCGAGATTTTGAAGACTCTTGTTCACGCTTTGAAGATCATTTGCGCCAATAAAAGGACATTTTTTATAGAAAAAGTCCGCTGCAAAAATTTCCAAATGCTTTAATTGTGGATTTAAATGAAAGAGCGCCAAAATATTTCTTCTGAATGAATTAATTCCTGGCTCAACAATTCTATAATGATCGTCCGTGCAATAAAATACTTGCATAGAAATGTTCAAATGCTCCAAAAATCCAAAACAATTCTCAATAAATTTAAATGAACCAACATCATTCGAATAAGTAAGGTTCAAATGAAGTTCTTGCATTCTTGGAAAACGGTCATTTAACCAATTGTTTTCAACCAAATCAGAAAAATAACAATTTTCCAATGTGATGTTTTTGACTCTGCTGAATGGCTTTTTTAGATAATTTGGTAAATCTCGAATCCCATAAAAATGAACATCAAGTAAAGATTCGGCGCAATATTCATTTACATACTCAATTACATGTTGAGTCCATATAAATTTATTCGGTGCATTTCTCCCATCGGGAAAGTCACCAAACATAAACATATCATTTTGCATGTCATTTTGAAATCGAATTTCTATATTAGTTAGAAGTTGACCGAAACACCTCAAAAATTTTAAACTTGATTTCAAGTCTCTGAATGAATGGTCTTCTAATGAATCGTCACCAAAATACACAATCCGATTAACTAGTTGTGCTTCAAATCCTTTATTTACACTGAACGAAATTTTTTTTGAACTAAATTTTCGAGAATAAATAAACTTGGCCGCCTGATTAATTCGTTTGTTGGAAGCAGCCGCACTCAACAGTTCATCGAATGATAAGTGCTCCAAGCAGCTCTCAATACAATCAACATCCATATCAACGAATTTCATCCTTTCTCTTGTTCTTCACTGTTTCTATCGATTACGAAATTTTCCTGTAAAAAGTTAATTAGGAAATATTATTTTCAAAATATAACTTAAACAGCCATAGCAAAATGGCACAAACATACCACTTATTCAAAGAATTCTTTTCTCGTAAGTTGAGAATTGATGCTCTACGTGTAGAGAAAATGCCAAAATTATTACACTGTCAAATATATTTGACCTTATAAGTGGGTAAAGAAAATCAGTTACTGAATTTAATTTATTAAAAATATCTTCAGAAAAATGATGAAAGAAAGACACAAAACTCGATGCTCCCGTGCAAATGAAAGTCGGAATACAACAATTTTTGAACAAACTCACAAACACTGAATATGGCTACGTTTTTCGTGTATGAAATTTGGAATTTGAACCTTCTAATGCATTTGAAAATGCCTCAAAGCAGGTAATACATATTGAACGACAAATGGTGGTGAACTAAACTACTTTTTTAGGTGTGGTGAATTGTCGTTTTACTTTTGAAAACACATATATGCGATATAATATTTTTTTTAACTTGTAAAATCTCTTTCTTTGCTTTGATCACAGAATTAATATTTGTTTCTATAAACAATTTTTTTTTTATTTATAGCTGATTTTTTTCTTCTCTGGAAAAGAAAAGCTCTTAAGCATCGTTCACAATCATTGCGTTCACAATTTTCGCTCATAACAAAGTGAAG